AGAGTGTCCATTTGGAACCAAGCCTTTCACTGCTAGCTGCTGATAACTGGGGCTAACCTTAAAGGTACAATAGAAAGGGCCCTACTGTTGCCAAGGCAACTGAAGTTCAAGATCATCTGGTCTCCAGGCAACCAGGTCTCCAATTTTGCCTCAAATACTTTCACAGGCACTCTCAAGAGAAGCCCTTCCCTGCTTTTCCCTTGTAGCTTGAGACCTGAGGAGGAGCAGAGACCAAGACCCATGGAATGATGTGAGGTTTGGAAATTTTTTTTTTTAGTCCTGGGGAATGTGCCTAGGACTTATGCCTGTACATCCCCAGGCCTGGGTTTGGGAGTTTTGAACTGGCTGAGCCAATGGGTCAGACAGTAGTTTACGTCTATACTAGAAAAAAAATTACAGTGAAAAGAGGGTGGTGTTTCTCTATCCGTGTCTAAAAAAACGCTACCTTTGATTTTTTTTTAAGTTACTATTCTATTCCCATACACTTGAATTTTCTAAGTCCTCCTGAGGCTTGTCAGGGCTGGGTATATTATTATCAGCTTGTCATGTGGGAAAGAAGTAGCCCGCCTGTTATCTCACCCAGCCTCTGAAGGGATTAGGCTGGTCTGTGTAAGAATTCTCTCTCTGATGTCATAAGAGGTCACTGTTGCCTTTGACAATGCAAGCAGCAGTTACCGTCTGGGTCAGAGAGGATGCTGCACTTTAAGGGCATGAGTACCATGGGGAAAAGCCATGGCTTGTCTCATGAAAAGCCCAGAGATACTTTCAAATGGTCGTTTTGTTGTGTTTTGTTTTGAAACAGGGTCTCACTATGTAACTGAACTCAGATCAGCCTGCCTCTACCTCAGGAGTCCTGGGATTAAAGGCGTGTGCCACCACTAGTGGTAAAATGCCCAGATTCCTATTAAAAACTTTTCTAAGTAGGGAACTGAGCTACTTGGGATGATAGAAAGTGTTCTGCCAGTGTTACTGGGTGACAAGTCCCTCCTCTAAATTCAACCCAGATACTGAGTCCATGCTGGCTGGATTTGATACTGTTTGTCTTGTAGGAAGGCTTGGAGGTGGGAGTGGGAGGATCAAGGAGTTCATGTTAGCCTTGGCCACAGAGTGAGCTTCATGAGACTGTCTCAGAACAAACATAAATGAGCTCTTGGGCTATCTGTTGCAAAGCCTCCAAGGCTAAAATATTGCTATATGCCTTCTGTATCATATTCCATTGCTTTGTTTGAGTCAGGGTCTCATTAGCCCAGACTGGCCTCAAACTCACTATGTAGACAAAGATGGCTTTCAATTCCTGGTCCTCTGCCTGCAGGTTTTTTTTTGAAAGATGTATATGTTTTATTATGTATAGTGTTCTGCCTGCATGTGTGCCTGCACACCGGAAGAGGGCACCACATCTCATTACAGATGGTTGTGAGTCACCATGTAGTTGGTGAGAGCAGGTAGCAGTCTTAACTCCTGAGCCCTCTCTCCAGCCCTGCCTGGACTTTTCAGGTGCTGGGATTATAAACATACAGTCTGAGAAAGGTTCTTAGGTCCTGTGCATTGTCTGGCTTGGGCAGTGAGGATGACTTAGGAAGAAAGGAAAACAATCTCACCATAAAAATCAGCAGCATCAAAACCAGCAGCACAGATGTTAGCAGCAGCTAATGTGCCGCCTGTTCCACATGGTTCTTACTGTTGTTTGTGAGGTCTAGTGAGGGGTGTGGTGCAGTCATGGCCCATTCTAAAACAAGGAAACAGACACAGACAGTGCCGAGCTGTCAGCTACACACTGAAATGACTTTGTAAGCCTGGGGTTTGAGTTATGCAGAACTTACGTTTTTTTGCTATCAGGATTCTCAAAAAGGAACAGTACTGATGAACTTACATGTCTACATACACACACACACACTCTCTCTCTCAGCAGAGTGGTTTAAAGGCTATGTTCCAAGTGGTCCAACAATGCTGTCTCCCACAGAAAGCTCAAGGACCTGGCAGTTGTTCAGTCCACGGGACTGGATGTCTCAGCCGTCCCAGTCTGATCCTGGAGTCTCAGGGAAGCTCTAGAGCGCTGCCGTTTTCAGTCCACATTGGCATGCTGAAGAAGTTGGTTCTGACTCCAGTGAAGGAGTGGCTCGAGGACAGGATAGATGAACTTTCCACTGAAAATGAGGGCAGGCAAAACACAAAAGCTCACTTTTCCCATGTCCTTCTAGATGGGCTGCCACCAGAGAGGGTGTGGCCCAGATTGAGGGTGGGTCTTCTGACCTCAAATGATCCAACCAAGAAGAATCCCCAGCTGTGTCCAACTGCGTGGATTTTAGTTAATTCCAGATGAAGTCAAACTGACAACCACGATGAGCTATCACAGTTTTACTCTGTATCTTGTTGGTTTTTAAAATGGAAAAATAACTTCCCAAGGGGTCTGGAGAGATGGCGCAGTGACTATGAGCACTTGCTACTCTTCCAGAGGACCTGGGTTCAATTCCCAGCACTCACATGATGGCTCCCAACCATCTGTAACTCCAATCTTACGGGACTCAGCACCCTCTTCTGGTGTCCTCAGACACCAGACTCACAATGGCGTGCATAGATACAGACAAAACACCCACACACATTAAAAAAATTTCTCAAATCTTTTGGTCATTTAATTACATGATGTTTTCCCTTAGTTACCCTCAAAGTTACTTATGCCAATAATATTGGAGAAACAGCCTTCAGAGTTATCAAAAATTTGGTCATTTAAAGGAATAAGAATTGAGAGGGCTGGCCGGGCGTTGGTGGCGCATACCTTTAATCCCAGCACTCAGGAGGCAGAGGCAAGCGGATCTCTGTGAGTTGGAGGCCAGCCTGCTCTACAAAGTGAGTTCCAAGACAGCCTCCAAAGCTACAAAGAAACCCTGTCTCGGAAAAAAAAAACCAAAAAAAAAAAAAAAAAAAAAGAATTGAGAGGGCCTATAGGTGTGAGATCAAGGCCAGGACCAAGAAGGAGGGGGTAGGAGTTGTAGGAATGGAGGTTGATGCTGGTGGCCTGGTCGATTGCCTTTGAGGACCTGTACTGGGGTTTGGAGGTGACTGCAAACGACATTTGCAGTGTTTGTGATCTAGCCTGGGAAGAAAACACGTGAACTATCCATCGTGTTCCCCCTCAGCCTCAGTTCAGGTGTCTGGTGCAATTGGTGCATCCAAGAAGGCTGAAGATGTGGTCTTCCGTGGTTGGGAAGGATACAGTGGGAGAGGGGAGACCAGCACATGCCTTGATGAATAAGTCAGAGCCAACAAGTGGGTCTACGTGCCCTGATTGTCATTTTATTCTCTTTATGATTCCACAGACTATTCCAATCTTCAGTTTCAGGTCTTTATTATGCTTTTTTGTTAAGTCTTGGTTGGCCTGACTCAAGGATTGCTGCTTGCCTGCCATCCCTTACAAAAGGTGTCTTATGGGCCTCCCAACTGTCCTTGCAGGATTTGGAATTTGAGTGCCTTTGTGTGAGTCCCTACTACTCTGGTGTCATGCTGACTTCACCCAGTACTGGCACCACATGGCTCTGTAGCCCTTGAGCCTGCAGCTGTTGTAGAAATTATGTAGGTCCTAATGCATTCTCGGCCAGTGCTAACCACTAACCTACAACCCAGCCATGGAAAGGATCCTGAAGTAAGTTCCCATTTACTGAGACCCTTGAAAAGCTTGAGAGGTGGGCAGAGAGGCATGCCTCTTTAGTCACAGCACTCGGGAGGCAGATGGATCTCTGTGATGCTGGACTACATAGCTAGTTCTGGACTAGCCAGGAAAAGCAAAATGAAAACAATAACCAAGTGATGGCTCACTCCTTTAATCCCAGCACTTGGAAGGCAGAGGCAGGAGGATCTCTGAGTTTGAGGCCAGCCTGGTTTACAGAGCGAGTTCCAGGACAGTGAGGGCTGTTACACAGAGAAGAAGCCCTGCCTTGAAAAACCCAGCAAAACAAAACAGTGAACAAACAGCTAACTAGTTCAAGATGGAGGCAAGAATGTCAGGAGTTCACGGCCAGCCTGGCTGTGTGAGCCCTTGTCTCAAAATCATCGCTGCAACTCCACTTACCCTGCTCTGCAGCTCTCATCTCAACATTTCTCTCTTTTGTTTTTGTTTTTTTCTGAGACAGGGTTTCTCTGTAGTTTTGGAGCCTGCCCTGGAACTCACTCTGTAGACCAGGCTGGCCTCGAACTCACAGAGATCCTCCTGCCTCTGCCTCCCGAGTGCTGGGATTAAAGGCTTTCGCCACCAGCACCTGGTTCAACATTTCTTATGTCTTTCACCGAAGGAGTAACACCATAAGCTTTTGTGTTCAGCCATTTCCCCTTATCTTCCCTGTGTATCAGTAAGTGAAGACTGCTTTAGCTACAAAGTGATAGTGGAATTGATCTGAAATGGAAGGCACTGTCCACGTGGTATGCTCTCTCTGCATCTCTAGCACACGATCCTTCCTTTCAGTGTTTGGCCCTTTGCCGACTTTTAGGTTAATAGAGTTGATAAATGACTGGGAAATGCTATGGTCATTTTACCTTTCTTTTCTTGCAGATGAATTTTTTCCTATGTTGCGATAGTTCTGTGGCCTAGTAACATTCTTGGGAGGGAAGCCTAGGAGACTCCCAGCCGCCTCTGGACTCCTACCGTTGAGTCTAAGTTCTTTCCCAAAGGAAGTGAGCATCAGTCAGCATCTGTGATGGTTTTGAGTAAAATGCTGCACGTGTAAGAGAGCCGTGCTTGTGACTTCCAAGGCAGCGAAGGGACAAGAGTAACCATTTACTTTGACGTCTTGGGCAATAGGCTGCTTTCTCCGGGTTTTCTGTGGTGAGAGTTGGTGCAGGTTGGTCCAGGGTGGAGCATCAGGAGTTCATGTATGGGGCTGCTTCCTCCACTGTGGCACTTGCAGGGAATCTGCCTGGAATGTGCGGCCACCCTACAAAGGCAGGTGAGGAAGAGCCAAAGCCTAGGCTTCTGCTTAGCGCCCTCACGGATCACCTTCCCTCCTTGGCAGGCACTGAGTGACCGCTTCAGCGGTGAAATCCCCGATGACCAAATGGCGCACAGTTCATTTTTTCCAGATGAGTACTTTACCTGCTCCTCGCTCTGCCTCAGCTGTGGGTAAGTGAGAGCAGCCATGTCCATCCTCCTGCTTGGAAACAGAGGCTGAGAGTGTTGCTTCTGACTGGGTGTGGCCCAGTCACCTGAATGCTGGTTAAAATATACACTCTGACGGGTTGGGCCGGCAAGATGGCTCAGTGAGGCAAAAAGCTTCCTGCTGCTAAATCTGAAGTCCTGAGTTTGATCCCTGGGACTCACATGGTGGAGAGACCTGATTCCCACAAGTAGTCCTCTGACCTCTGCTCATGCACAGACAGGGGGGAGGGAGGGGGGGAGGGAGGGAGGGAGGGAGGGAGGGAGAGAGAGAGAGAGAGAGAGAGAGAGAGAGAGAGAGAGAGAGAGAGAGAGAGAGAGAGAGAGAGAGAGAGAGAGAGAGAGAGAGAGAAAATTTTAAAAATTGAAAAAAGAAATAAAACAAGGCCTCATGGTGCATTTCTGACAAGTCCAGGTGGTCCTGCTGGTCTGGAGACCATCCACTGGGGAAGTAAGGACTTTAGGAATACATGTTTGGAGAAATTACCTGAAGACTGGTGTGGATCCGAGTGGTTGGCTTCCGGTACAGGCAGTTTTCCTGGCAGGAGTTTGGGTGGCTGCTTTCCTCTGGTTCCTCAACCAGATGTCATTGTTGTTGTTTTCTCACACTAGTGTGTTTATTCAGCTAGTACTTAGTGTCCCCATCTTCACTCCAGCTGTGTACAGAGCTCTGTGACAGGTGCTGGTCCTGTTTGATGCTTTTCTTTCTAAGGACAAATCCTTAGAACATGATTGATTTTTCTCAGGAACATGCAAGATCGAGGCCAAGGCCCCCAAGGGGTCTTGCAGGATCCAGGGCTCTTCCCTGGATGGGTCTGGGTGCGCCCTTGGCAGTGGTGCACTCACAAGGCTCCGGGTATTCTCAAGTGTACCCTGAGCTGAGAGCATTGGGTAGAATAATTCTCTATCTCTAACCCGTAGCACCTCTAGTCACTAAAACACAGGCTCTGGATCAGCAGGTGTGGATGGGGCCTGAGATATGCCTGCGTCTTGAACAAGTCTTGGTGATGCCGCTGCTGGTCTGTGGACCCCTCTTGGTCGCAGAGGGGTTAGAGCAGTGACTCACAAATGCTAGCATGAATCAGAGGAACTCAGGGTATGCTCAACTGCTTGGTTAGTCCCATTTCAGAGTTTGTGGGTCTGCAAAGAACCGGAGAAGTGGTGGTTTTGGTAGCCTCCAAGTGATGGTGACACTGCTTGTAGAGACCTCACCTTGAGGATTGTTGTGTCAATTAAATCACCGTCTTATTCCTTGCCTGATGGATCCTGGGGGTCTAAACAGTGTGTCAAGGCTAGGCTCCAGTCTTCTTGTCCTGTAGACACACTTGCAAATTCTCTTCACCTCTGAATTGTTTTGCTCATATTAGGGCCACCCATCTACCCAGTATCCTACACTCTTGCCCTTTTACAGGAGGAGACCTGAACCCATTTCTTTTATGAATGGCCTTTGACCTTGGACTCTACATTCCATCTGAGGGCTACAGAACCATTTCTGACCTGGGAGAAAAGGCTCTTGCATTTTACAGTGGAGGGCTGGGGCATTATTGGAGACTTCCTCTTGTGAAGGGAGGTGAGGAAGAGGTATTAGTTGCTCTGCCTGAGTTTAGCATGAGAGGATTAAGCACTGTTGGGTCATCACCTTTCAGTCTGAACATCTGCAGGATTTTTAGAATTCTCTGTTACCGCAGAGCAACCCTAAAGCGCTAATCTCTGTCTGCCTTGTCAGCATGGCAGAGCTTGCTGTTCACTTGAAAGTTTTTGTGGTTCATCATTAAGCTTCCCCTGGATACAGTGCCAGATTTGGGGGCTTGCTTTTCAGTTTTACATCTTGACAGCCATATGGTGCAACGTTCCTGTCTTAGCTGCTGTTCTATTGCTGTGAAGAGACACCGTGAGCAAGGCAGCGTACAACAGAAAGCATTTGATTTGGGGACTCGGTCCCAGAAGGTTTGGATTTGGAGTCCATGACACCATGGTGGGAGGCGTGACGGTGGCCAGGCAGGCATGATGCTGGAGCAGTAGCTGGGATCTTGAGACACGTGAAATAGGCAGGGGCTGGGAGGAGAGGGCGAAGGCCATCCCAATGTCACACCTGCTCCAGCAAGGCCACGCCTCCTAACCCTTCCCACTTACACCACCTGGGAACCACGCATTCAAACATATTAGTGCCATTCTCATTTAAACTGCCACATGCCCATTTCACCCCCTTTGTGTTTAATTCTTGAGAGCTGCTCAGCTTTCGTCTCTAGTTGAGCTGGTGTCTTGTGTCTCTTCAATTTTCACTGAGGAGCCAGGCTGATTTTTCTTTTCCCCATTTCCCCCTTTCAGGCTAACAGTTACTTGCCCTCTGTTGTGATTGACCATGAGTATTGCAGAGGGCCTGTGTGGGGATCACCCGCTCCCTGTGTGCAGGAACCAGGTCTGGTTTTGGTCCTGTGCCTCTTCAGATCCAGACGCTTAGCTTACTTGTGAGGGATGCTGCTGTCGTTAGCCTGCTTCCTCACTGTCATGACTGGCTTCCTTTAGGGTTGGATGTAAGAACAGCATGAACCATGGCAAGGAAGGAGTACCTCATGAAGCCAAGACTCGCTGTAGGTACTCGCACCAGTATGACAACCGAGTTTATACGTGTAAGGTGAGTCTATTGTGCCACTCCTTCCTCCCAACAGGGAAAAGTCTAGAAACCCTGTGGATGGTCAGAATGAGAAAGTGATGACCCAGCAGAACTTATATGTCATTCTGGGGCCTCTCCTCTGTTCTTTGAGCTTTTTTCTCTCTGCTTCTGTTGAGCTCATGGGTAAGGATCATCTGTCTACTTCTGAGCAGAACTGCTTCTCAGGCAACCGATTTAGATGGATTTTTTTTCTGTCTGTGACAGGTGCATAATTTAGAGCATAGTTTTGGGTTCCAGACTTTTTCACAGTTCCTTCTCATGGAAGGCACTCACTGGCTTCTTTAGAGAATTAACCTCCTTCTGAGGTGCTAAACTCAAGACATGAACCCCTCAGCTGGTGAGATTTGTGGGGTTGGGGTGTGAGGAGGTCATGGAGCTCAGTGTACCTAGAATAAACCGGCAGAGTACTCCTTATTTCAGGCCTGCTATGAGAGAGGCAAGGAAGTCAGCGTGGTGCCCAAAACATCTGCCTCCACTGACTCTCCCTGGATGGGACTTGCAAAGTACGCCTGGTCTGGGTGAGTTTGAATAACACAGCTAGAGGGGTTTTAGGTGTTTGTTTTCTCAGCGCCTGACAGAGTTGGAACACTGTTGACTTGCCAACTTGCCTCCCATAGGTACGTGATCGAATGTCCTAACTGCGGTGTGGTCTATCGGAGCCGGCAGTACTGGTTTGGGAACCAAGATCCTGTGGATACAGTGGTGCGGACCGAGATTGTACATGTGTGGCCTGGGGTAAGTAAGAACTGTCCACTGGTTCCCTTCTGTCTCTTGCGATCATGTGTTTGTGTCTAGAGAGGTGGAGCTGGCTTGCAGTAGAAAAGTCAACCGTGAATTGCAGCACATTAGTGGTTTAGAAAGGCAGATCTGCAGAGCACATCCTGTTCCAGCCCTCCGTTTCTTATTTCTTCATTGCACAGATGATAGGATGAAATAGATGGACGTTAGTCTGTCATTCTCAACTGGCAAGTAAAACTCATTTCCCATATGCACAGGTACAGACTTTTATGGATGCCCTTACTGTTCATTTATTTATGTAGCCATGGGGCCTCACTGTGATGCTCAGGCTGGCCTTGAGCTCCTGGACTCAAGTAATTCCCCTGTTTGAGCCTTCTAAGTAGCTGAGACTATAGGCATGCCCTAACATTCATTCCTTGATCTTTTTGTTGTTGTTCTTTGTTTGTTTATTTTCGAGACAAAATAGCTTTGGAACCTGATCTAGAACTCACCCTGTAGACCAGGCTGGTCTCAGACTCATGGAGATAACTCCTGCCTCTGCCTCTTGATGCTGGGATTAAAGGTGTTCGCCACCACTGCCCAGCTGATAATTATATTTTACATGCCGTTTTTCCTACCTTTTTTCATGCTAGTTTATTTGACTCAGTACTATAGTTTATTTGCCATTTCCTTAGTTTTGACACTTACTCATTTTGTGGTTTCTTTTGTTGTTGTTGTTTTTTTTTTTAAAGATTTATTTATTACATATACAGTGTTCTGCCTAAATGCCAGAAGAGGGTACCAGATTGATTTGTAGATGGTTGTGAGCCACCATGTGGTTGCTGGGAATTGAACTCAGGACCCCTGGAAGAGCAGTCAGTGCTCTTAACCTCTGAGCCATCCCTCCAGCCCCATTTTATGGTTTCTTAATGAACAAGCTTTAGTGACCATCTGCATGTGGGAAAGCTATTTCTGTATTCTGGGAAATTGTGTGTGTGTGTGTGTGTGTGTGTGTGTGTGTGTGTGTGTGTGTGTGTGTGTGTGTTTTCTTCCTTCTACCATGTGGGTCTCAGGGGTCAGGCTCAGGGTGACAGGTTTAGCAGCAAACACCTTTACCTGCTCATCATCTTCCAGTGTGGGACATTTCAGTGAAGTACTTCTAAAAAGGAGAAGGTTTCTTTTGAGATAGGGTCTCACTGTGTTGTCCAGGCTGGCCTCAAGCTTGTCACCTCCTTGCTTCCCTTGCAAGTGCTGAGATGGCAGGTGTGTTCATTCTGCAGCTTAAAGGTGGGATTACTGGAGGCCTCTTTTACTCATTTACCACTTTGCCTATTTGTGTGTGGAAAACCAGATCTGTGTAGGAGATGCTGATACAATACTTTCTTCCTGTATCTGTCACTACTTACAGTTGCTCATGGTAGAGTACTTCTGTTCTGAGTTTCTTGGGAGGCTGAGACAGGAGGATAGCTTGAGCCCAGGAGTTTGAGTTCAGCTTGGGGCAACATTAGAAAGGCCTTGTCTCAGAATAAAATCAAACCACTATTCATATTTAGAATTACTCATGAATTGTAATAAATCCTACACAACTAATTTTCTTGGAGGGCATTATTTTACTGTATTGTTTTCCTTTTTGAATAACTGCTGTAGCTGTGTTATTTGAACTCACACGGACCATTTAGCCCAGCAGTCATGTTGGTCAGCTTTCCATTCCTGTAACAAATACCTAAGATGACCAACTTATAAAGAAGAAAGGTTTATTTTTCTTTTTTTTTTGGTTCATAGTTTTTCCATGACTAATTGGCTGGGTTGTTTGGGACTATAGTAAAACAGTACTATGGTGGGAGTATGTGATGGAGGGAACCCATTTGCCCCAAGGCTAGTAGAATTTTCTGACCCTCCTGTTAGCTCCTAGACAGAGACTTCATTATTAATTATAAATGCTTGGCCAGTAGCTTAGGCTTGTTAGTAATAAGCTCTTACATCTTAAATTAACCCATATTTCTTATCTAAGTTCTACCTTATAGTCTGTACCTTTTTTCAGCATGGCATGTTCATCTTGTTCCCCCCCCCCCCACCTTCTGTCCACTCCTCCCTCCTTCATCCCGGAGAGTGCTCTCCCTGTTGGAAAGTCATGCCTCGCCTCTTCCTGCCCACCTATTGTGAGAGCAACACATCTTCCCAGTGTACAGAAAGATTATTCCACAGCATATGTGATGGAGGGACCCCATTTGCCTCAAGGCTAGGGATCAATAGGAAAGAGACCAGCATCCCATAGTCCCCTTCAAGAACATGTCCCTAATGATCTAGAACTCAGTGGGTCTTACCTTTTTCATTTCTAGCAGTGTTTCTAGAGCCAAGCAGAGAACAAAAACACAGGCCTTTAATGGGCAGTCTAGAGCCAAATTGCAATCCAGTCCTTTCTGCAAATCCACCTTGGAGCTTTCTTCCAGTCACATAGTAGAGTTGAGGATTTCTTGTCTGTTCTCCTTCTCACAGAATTTCTGGGCCTTCGGAAATTTGTGATGTCTTTTTTGGAGTCCACCTCCTTGATTTGGTGGTCTTAATGGCATAGGCTGTCCTGTCTCAAGGATTTGGCATGGCCTTGGAAAGCAGTACAGCAAAGTGATAACTTAAGTTTCTGTCTCATGAAAACAGCACCTCAGTTACAACCTCCTTAGTTCTTGGAGCTAGAATACCTTGGGTTCTGTGTGTCTGCCTGTCCATACATTTGTTCATTTATTATTTTAATGTAAGTTGTTAAAGTACTGCATGTCCAGAATTGAGCTAGATACTTGGAAAAACACAGGTCACTATTCTTAGCCACTGAGCCATCTCTCCAACCCCATAGGTCACTATTCTAAGAGTTCATAATCCAGCAGGTTTAAGATGCACATGTAAGCCGGGCGTTGGTGGCGCACGCCTTTAATCCCAGCACTCGGGAGGCAGAGGCAGGTGGATCTCTGTGAGTTTGAGACCAGCCTGGACTACCAAGCGAGTTCCAGGACAGCCTCCAAAGCCACAGAGAAGCCCTGTCTCGAAAAACCAAAAAAAAAAAAAAAGATACGCATGTAATAGCAATAGCAACTATACTTACAGAAATAGGATTCTTAGGGATTTACATGTATTAGGGGAACTGGGAAGAAGGGTCCCTAACTGAGCTTGGTGTGGGCTTCCTGTAGGATGTGTCACCTTCTGTACTGTGGGGCAGAGTTAGTCCTGAGTTGAGCGCCTGTACATCAGGCGTTGTGGTCACCCAATGAGAATACATCAGTGCTGACTGGTGCATGTGATGTCGCCAAGTAGCTAACGAGATTGCCAGTCTGTCTCTCTTCTGTCCTGCTTTGTAAATGGAGTTCTTAATAGGTCTAAATAATAAAAACCTGGAGTCAGATAGAGGGATCAGAGAGGAGCAAGCCAAAGCCACCTTTACCTCATTAGCTAGCTTCCTAGCTGAAAAGACAGCGAGTTCCTGTTTCTTCTTGTTTATAGCCTCTCTCCGCCCAGCTGTTTCATTTCCTGTCTCTGCCCAGCCATCTCACTTCCTGTCTGTCTGTACAGACCTCCAGACTTCTATGGTTGACTAGTGGCTAGCTCCACCTTCTGATCTTTAGCCGAGCTTTATTTGCACAAGCAAGATGTCACCCCTCTGCCTGGTGGTTTACTGTTCTGAGTTGGTCCTAGATGCCCTCTCTTTTCTTCCCTGCACTCAGAGACTAACGAGCCCCTGTGTTTTCATTGCAGACCGATGCATTTCTGAAGGACAACAACAATGCTGCCCAGCGTCTGTTGGATGGGATGAACTTTATGGCTCAGTCAGTATCTGAGCTTAGCATCGGACCCACGAAGGCTGTGACTTCTTGGCTAACAGACCAGATCGCACCTGCCTACTGGAGGCCCAACTCCCAGATTCTGGTATGATGTAGGAGTCCTCTGGAGTCCTGACATAGACCACCCTGCTTATGCCACTTTGCCTGGTGCTATGCTGGTTCCAGGAGGGAGGCACAAACCTTTTCCTCTTGTAGTTAGCTCTGGGAGTCTTGGGAAGGGTTTAGCTTTAGGCTGCTTCTTTGCTTCTGGACTTCCTTTTATGTCCTGTATTTTCTTTGTCTTGGGTTGTATTTCCATACCTGTGAGGGCCAATTAATATTGCCTAGATGTCAAAAATCATAGCTACATAATCTGAAGAAAGGTTCTTGGCTTGATACACAGTGCTCTAGAGTAACAACCTGGAATCAGTTTCTGCCCAAACACCTATTACAGGAAGCACTCTGCCCCTTTCCTTTCTGCATTCAGGGAATTATTATTACAAGAAAGTGGGGTGTAGTTGGACTTTTTTTTTTTTTGGTCTTTGGGGGCCCGGCACCCAACCTCCAAGTAAATACACTGAGACTTATTCTTACTCAGAATGCCTGGCCTTAGCCAGCTTTTCAAACTTAAATTATCCCATTTCTCTTTAGTTTTTGCCTCTGGGCTTTTACCTTTCTTTATTCTATATATCTTTCTTTCCTTTTTTTTTTTTTTTTTTTTTTTTTTTTGGCTTTACAAGACAGGGTTTCTCTGTATTGTTTTGGAGGCTGTCCAGCCTGGCCTCGAACTCACAGAGATCCGCCTGCCTCTGCCTCCCGAGTGCTGGGATTAAAGGCGTGGGCCACCACCGCCCGGCTTCTTTCTTTCCTTCTAACTTTAGGGCTGGCTGGGTGGCTGGGTGGCTGGGTGGCTGGCCCCTGGCATCCTCTTCTCCTCCTTTCCTCGCTCCTCACTCCCTTCCCTAGATTTTTCCTATTTATTTTCTCTGCCTGCCAGCCCTGCCTATTTCTCTCTCCTGGCTGTTCAGCTCTTGTTAGACCATCAGGTATTTTAGGCAGGCAAAGTAACACAGCTTCACAGAGTTAAACAACACATCTTTGCATCATTAAATATCCCACAGCATAAACAAATACAACAGCTTAAACACATTCCACAACAGGGTGGGTCCTGACTGAACTGGGCCCACCTCCAGGAGTTAGTGGTTGTCCCGGAGCATGCCCACTCCCCAGCTGAGCAGGTGTGTAGGATCCTTGCATCTCTGCTTTGTTTTGGACTTGGGACAGAGCTGTAACCAGTGTGCCACATCCTTCAAAGACAACGACACCAAGCATCACTGCCGGGCCTGCGGTGAGGGCTTCTGTGACAGCTGTTCATCCAAGACACGGCCGGTGCCTGAGCGGGGCTGGGGGCCTGCACCCGTCCGGGTGTGTGACAACTGCTACGACGCCAGGAATGTTCAGTTAGGTAACGTGGGGTTCAGCAGCTGCGAGGGTGGAGGGGAGTCACCCTCCTTCGCACTTACTGAATTCAGGGCACTCGGTGCTCACTGCTCCAACCATTCCACTCCTGAGAGCAGCTGTTCCTCTGGCCGCTGCTAGGCATCCCGGAGCTCCTTAGTAGAGGCCCATGATGCTGGTCCTTGGGGTGGAGTTTTGGCAGACAGGATTGAACCTGGCCTGGCCTGAGCTCTGAGCTCAGTGGTGCTTCTGAGAGAAAAATGTCTGCATATAGTTGATAAATTCTGGCAAGCCAGAGATGAGCTCAGATTGAGTCCACTATCTGTAGAAAGTTCTAGGTCTTTCTCTCTGAACCAAACTGGTTGACTTTCAAAACAAGTCATAAATCAGTCCTAGAGAGTTGGAGGTAAAGAACAAGAGATACCCTAGCAGTTTCAGGGGCTGAGCTGATCGACCCCACAGGTCACTTTCCTTTTAGTGACTGTGAGAATCCAGAAGGTTCCACCATGCCCCCCTGAGCTCCCGTCTGAGAAGTGACTGTCGAGAGTCAGCAGCTATCCCTTGTTGTCATCCACAGATGTGACTGAGGCACAGGCAGATGATGAAGGGGGAACACTGATTGCCCGGAAGGTGGGCGAGGCCGTGCAGAACACCTTGGGAGCCGTGGTGACAGCTATTGATATACCACTAGGTGAGCCTGGGCAGTGCCTGTCTCGGGTGTAGTGCATGTAGGATGAGGGATCAGGGTACCCGGATGGTCATTAACGTGCTTGCTTACTGGATTGAGTTTGGCAGCAAGGAATGAAGGAAAGCTTTGCTTTTGTGCTGAGTTCGTTAGTGGCATCAGCATTATTCCTGGGGGCTGTCGTTCCCATCTCCTGCTCTACATAAAGGCGGGTCCATCTGCTTTGTCTTAGAGTGCTGTGCACCCAGCAGTCAGCATCTGCTTGTTCCCTATTGTCACTGCCTGGAGTCACCGTCTGGATACTGCAGGGTAACGTTTGGACTGATTTGAAAGGTCCAAGCTGCTGTTAGGAGGACAATTAGAAACCCTGCTCAGTAGAGCACCTCACTTCCTCTCTGTGTACTCTCTGGTAGGAAATGGTTTCTCAGGGTTTCAAGAGCTAATGTTTTAGGGCTAGAGAAGTGGCTCGGTGGTTAAGAGCACCTGCTGCCCTCACAGAGGGCAAAGTTCATGTCCAGCACCTGTTGGGCAGCTCACAGCTCCCATAGCTCCAGTTCCAGGGTTCCTCTGCTCTTAGGGCTCCATTTGTGTGCTCTTCCATGCGCACCCACACCCGCATGTGGCCCTCACACAGGAATGAATGGATAATCTTAAATTTTAAAGAAAAGGCCACTGCACGAAGCCAGGTGGTGCAGGCAGCACTCAGGAGGCAGAGGCAGCTGGGTCTCTGACTTTGAGGCTGGTCTGGTCTCCATACATAGCATGTTCTGGCCAACTAGGGATACATAGTGGGACCCTGTCTCAAAACAAGAAAGAAAAGAAAAAGGAGGAGGCAGAAGCAACTAATGCTTTAAAGTTTGAAGAGGTAGGAAGCATGCTTGTGTAATGTGTTCAAGGAAGGGAAACAGGTGTCTCAAGGAAGGAAAGTGTGTCAGAGAACTTGTTATATTAATTTACTCATTAACTGTGTGTGTGTGTGTGTGTGTGTGTGTGTGTGTGTGTGTGTGTGTGTGTGTGTGTGTGTGTGTGTGTGTGTGTGTCTTGCGTGCCCGTGTGGCGGTCAGAGGACAGCTTTGGGAATCAGTTATCCTCTTCTCCAGTGCAGGTAGCAGGCTCTTATCTCTTCCCTGCTGAGGCCTCTCATTGACCAAGCTGTTGCTAACTCAGCATTTAAGATTCCTGTTCACTGGGAGGGGTGGCGTAAGCCTTTAATCCCAGCACTCTGGAGGCAGAGTCAAGGCAGGTGGATCTCTGTGAGTTCAAGGCCAGCCTAGACTACAGAGCAGATCAGCCAGGGCTACACAGAGAAACCCTGTCTAAGAAAACAACAAAAAAGATTCCCGCTCTGCTCCCATTGTGAGGGTTACTTATACCAGAGTGGGAAGAAGAGAGGAGAAGCCAGTAGTGGATGGAGGACTTGGCAGGATAGGTGAGGCTTTGGATGTATTATGGTGTACTGTAAGGGAGAGACCAGAAGACCAGTGCTGCTAGAGACAAACAAACAAACAAACAAACAAACAAACACCATGGCTTAGATCAAATGCATGAGTAGTCCACAAAACATTCTGTGCTTTTGACTCAATGGTATAGGAATAGGTAGATTTGCCCTGGCTTGAAACTAAGAATACATCGGCCCTTGACCACCTGGGAGGGACATGGGCTGCCCTTGGGGGTCACCAAATGTCCCCTTGCTGAGCTCCTTTTAGGCTGAATTTAGCATGTGTTTTCTTTCTTTTTTCTATTTTTTTTCTTTTATATTTACTGCCAAGAGCAACAAATGCTTTTTTGTTTTGGATTTAGTTTTTTTGAGACGGTTTCTCTATGTAGCCCTGGCTGTCCTAGAACTCATTGTGTAGACCAATCTGGCCTTGAACTCAGGTCTGCCTCTGCCTCCCAAGTGCTGGGATTGAAGGTTTGCACCACCAGACTGGCTGTACAAGTGTTCTTAGGGTGTACAAGTGTTCTTAACCACTGAGCCAACTCTACAGTGCAGGCGGATTATTTGTTTTTTGTTTTTGTTTTTTCTTTCTTTTTCTTTTTTTTTTTGGAGACAGGGTTTCTCTGTATTGTTTGGAGGCTGTCCTGGAACTTGCTTTGTAGACCAGGCTGGCTTCAAACTCACTGAGATCTACCTGCCTCTGCCTCCCGAGCACTGGGATTAAAGGTGCTATTTCTGGTTGTTGATGATAGCTTTAGAATGAGTTTTTAAAGATGAGTAAGCCCCTTACTTAATCCCACAGCTACCGTGCTCAGTGGTGCTAGGATGCAACTGGATTTCTGACTCAGAGTCAGGACTTCCTTTGTGGTCTGAGGAGTGCAGCTTCACCTTAGTGTCACTCAGAGAGTGTAGTAGATACACATTGCCTCAGCCTCAACCACAGATCCTGTGGTCAGGGTGGAAGAGAGAGCAGACTCCACAGTTACCTCTGACTTCCACATAAAACAGGGCAAGGATGTGGCTCACTTGGTAGAGTGTTTGGGTAACGTTCCTGAAAGCCTAGATCTGATTCACTCCATAAACTGGGTGCATTGGCGTAAAACTGTATAACGCTAGCACTGGAGAAGTAGAGACAGGAGGACCAGAAGTACAGGATCATCCTTAGCAACAATGAGTCTCGGGCCACCCTGTGCTACACGTCTCATAAAATACACGAGTAACGGCTGCTCTTCCAAGGTCCTGAGTTCAATTCCCAGCAGCCATCTGTAATGAGATCTGGTCCCTCGTCTGGCCTGCAGGCACACATGCTGACAGAACACTGAATACATAATAAATAAATCTTTAAAAATTCATGAATAAAAATAAACTGAAAAACCATAGCATAGCAAGGTTCCGTGTGCAGTTGGGATGACAAGGCAAGAAGTGTCCCGGGGGACTGGGCAGGGTTCCAGTGTCCTAACTGTTCTCGTTCCTTCTCTGATACAGGCCTGGTGAAAGACGCTGCTAGGCCGGCCTACTGGGTGCCTGACCATGAGATTCTGCACTGCCACAACTGTCGCAAGGAGTTCAGCGTCAAGCTCTCCAAGCACCACTGCCGAGCTTGTGGGCAGGGCTTCTGTGATGAGTGCTCCCATGACCGGAGGGCTGTCCCCTCTCGAGGCTGGGACCATCCAGTCCGAGTCTGCTTCAACTGCAATAAAAAGCCCGGTGACCTTTAACCCCAGCTCCCTCTCTGACTCCTTCACAATTCCTTAGGTTCTCAGGGTTAGAAACAGAAGTCTCACTGAGGTAGGCCCTCCTGGTCACCTGTTGTGGTGTGTGTGCTCTCCTGTCACATCCCTGGGCCACTTTTCCCTCAGTGGAGGCGAGCCTGGCTGTAGACCTGAAGGCATGAACCACCTCAGGGCAAAGGACGGAGCAGCTCTCAGTAAAGGTTAATGGACCTGAGTCCATTGCATTTATTTCAGTTAAAAATAATGACTCTATCTACCTGTATCTCCATATATCCATGTAGAGGGGATTTGGAGTGAGAGGGCTGCTTCTCTCTGAAGGCTTCCCCAGCGTGTCTCCAGCACAGGGTTCAGGTGGCCTTGGGAGCCAGTCTTCCTCATGAAGCCAACCAGGTTCAGAGTCACCTTTGCTGCATCTCCCCGAGCTTGGCAGAGGCTTTCCTGCTCTTTCCCCTCCTGCTCCTGGGATGCCTGGATAGCTGTCTGGGTTCAAACCTCCTCTCACCTGAAGCAGTCTAGGGGGTTCCACCAGGCTTTCCCAGAGCAAGTCCTGGTCCTTGGGTCCAGCCTGTCGTAGGCAGAGATCATCTGGCTTTTGAAAGCCACTGGTGTATGTAGAGGGTCGGAGGGGTAGGGCCTTAGACATAAAAGTCAAGATGCAGGTGCTTGTGGCCCCTACAGTTGGGATGTCCAGGAGGAAGTAGGTCTCACCTAACAGGACCTGTGCTCCATGATGCTTCTGTCTCCACGAGGCTTTCTTAATGGGCCATACCCTGCTCCTGAGTCAGCCTGACACTTCCCCTTTGCCCTCGGAGTCCCAACCCGCTTCTGAGTGTCATACTAGAACTTTTATTACTCAAAGTGTCTTATTCTTTGTTTCCAGACATACAACCCCTCTGTCTATTAGAGGGGGAGAGGTGATCATGAGAAACCTTCCAGGGAAACAGCACAGAATGAACTGTTGGTTGTATGTTTTTTTTTAAAGAAAAAAAATATATAAATATATATGTATGAATATTTCAACAGATCATAAGGAAAAAATTCTCCTTGGTTCTTATAAAAGAAACCAAATGAACAAATGTTTCTCAACAAGAGCTTGGACATCATATCGATCATGACTGGAAAGCCTGTTGTGCTGAACTCCCGTTAGGGTGGAGTTTATCTTCAGTGGCCAAAAAAGAAGAATGAAAGCAACATCGTTATTGATTGGACTGATGGGTGGGTGGACCTTGGGGAGGTATGTGGGCAGTCATTTCTGGGGTGTGTATCTGCTTGACGTGAGCCCTGGAATGGATTGGTCCTTCTTAGACCTGTTCCTTTCTGCCTCCTGAGGCCCTACTCTAGAAATGTGTCATCTATTCACCACCATAAAGGAATCTTCCTGCTGAACATGGCTGTGTTGGCTCGTTTTTTGCTCTCCTGCATAGCTGGTGACTAGCAGAGCAGAAGTCAAGAGAGGCATGTCTAAGAAAGGTGATTTTTACTATAATACTTGAGCTTATTCAGACAAGAGCTGTTTTAGAACATAGGCACCACACACCCATTTATATTTACACATACATACTTAAGATGGAAAGTCTGCTTTTATGTCAGGCCGGTCTTGAACTCAAGAGCTCAAGTGATCCTTCAGCCTCAGCTTCCCAAGTAGCTGGGACTTCAAAAGCGTGTCACCACACTAAGCTTAGAATGGGTTTTAGCCAACCTCTTAACAGTTGACAGTTTCCCCAAGTTCCCCATCTCAGGTTTCATGTACTCCAGGCTCAAGCTTGAATCTCTGACCACCCCTGCCTCCACCTTCCAACTGCTCAGACAGATACAGGTCTTAGGTGGTGTTGGCTCTCACACCCATGCCTTCCTGAACACTACGTAAGCGCTCTACGTCCCTCATCCTCATTTTCCAGGTCAGTAGCTAGCATGCCCTAGATTAGTTTGCCAAGTGGGGCCCGATCTTTATGATTGTTGTGAATTAACCCTTCACTTAGAGAAGGCGAATTGTGGTCTTGGAATTCTTAGTAGTGACCAGTGGGCTCTGGAAGTTCTCACCTCATTGTCATTTTTCCTCAAACTCTGGGGGGGGGGGGTTGAGAGTTAGGGACAGCTGCCCCCAGGCCAAATGGTGGCAGCTGTTTGGTCCAGGCTTCCCTCTGTCCTTGTGTCATGGTGTAGTTTGAACATTACACTGATTTATGGAAACAGTGGGAAATGTGGTGCTGGCCCTCGATGGGCCTTGTATGTCCTAGGCATGTGCTTACCTGTAGCATAAATCCTAATTGATGTTAATAAAGATTCCGAGGGATACAGGGGAAAATGCTGAGAGATCAGAGAAGCAGAGCGGCCAGCCACTAGTTCTTACCTCTACCGTATCCTCAGATTGAATGGGGGATCCTGTCCCTAGGAATCCTCAGACTGAATGCTCTGAGCTCCTGTCTCCTCCCACCTTATATTCCTCTCTGGCTAGCCATATCACTCCGGTCTCCATCTCCCGAGTGCTGCTGGGATTAGGGGCGTGTACCACACTGTGTGGCCTCCATGACTAACTAGTGTGGCTAGCTCTACACTCGGATTTTCAGGCAGGCTTTATTTGTTAGATGCACAAACAAAAAGGTATCACCACAGATGCCCCTCCAAACATCTGTTTCTTACCTTGTCACCTGTCATGTCCCTCTGTGGCTACTGACACTCTGGCCTGCAGCTTTTCCTTCATTTTTTCCCCCTGCTTCTCTTCTACCTTTATTTGGGGAGGAGAGGTGAAAATTGACTCTGTGAGTTCGAGGCCAGCCTGGTCTACAAGTTCCAGGACAGCCTCCAAAGCCACAGAGAAACCCTGTCTGGAAAAACAAAACAGACAAATTGGCCTTGTAAGACCCTGTTGTTCTGCCCTTGCTGGGGTGCTTGAGTGTGAGTCCCACTAAGCATGTGGTGGGGTCATTCCCTGCCCCCACCTGCTTCAGGCTCTTACAGAGGAACCTCAGGGAAATCTGCAAAGCTCCTTTTCCTCGTGCTATTCAGTGCAGTGCAGGAGAGGTCATGCACTGGCTTCAGAACGGGGCTCTTTTCTTGGCCAAACAAACAATGGAATCCCAGCCTCAGCCAGGGAGGGGATAGCTAGCTGAAAGCCGGCAGAAAACAAGGCCTGAAGAAACTACCGTCAAACCTATCAGCTTGGTCAATTTTCTCCAGCCTGATGCCGCAAATGCAACCAGCACACCGATTAAGAAACAGCATGGCTGTACTCCAGGAACACCCTGTCCCTCCTCACAGATAGCTCTCTTGGCACAAGATGCACAGGTCACTACCTCACCAGGTCTTTCATACAGGCTTTAGGCAAGTGCACAAAGCTAGCTTGTAGGTGAAGACAGTTGGTCCACATGAGCACTGTGGTTAGAGGTCTCAGTCGTGGCCAAGTGACCTCCTCAGCAGTGGCCTGGTGGGACCCTTCTGTGTCTTGGTTTTCTCAGCTGGTAGGCTCATTGGGAGTTGGAAAACGCCTATTGCCCTGCCAGGCGCTGTGTGAGCTTTGGCTGTGTTCCCCTGTGAGGAGCCGCCCTCGCTATCGCTATTGCCGTTAGAAGATGGCGCTGACATCCACTGTCAGTTGGAGTTAACTGTCGCTGTCAGTTGGAGTTAACTGTCGCTGTCAGTTGGAGTTAACTGTCGCTGTCAGTTGGAGTTAACTGTCGCTGTCAGTTAGAGTTAACCGTTTAAACTGTGCCTCTCCCGTGACGTCATCTGGGGTGATGTGCAAACCACCAATCCCGGCTCTACACATCTCACTCGGAGCTCCTAGGCTTATATAAGGGGCTGGGTTTCTTAGCTTGGGGTCTCCCTCTAAGAAGCTGATCATCTATCTCTCAAGATGCATTAAAGCTTTACTGCAGAAGGATCCGAGTGTTCTGCGTCGTTCTTGCTGGCGAGACGGTAGCGCGGGACATCTGGTGCCGAAACCCGGGAACTCTTCAACATCGCCGGCGCCGCGGGAGACCCCTCGGAAAACGGGGCGGATTCAGAACTGCAGGGACGTAGGTTCAGAGAGGTATGCTTTATCCTGAACAACCCTTTTCTCGACTTTGGCCTTAGTTTGTCATCACCGTGGGACGGGTCAGTGGAGGCTTTGGTGCTAGTCCTGTTTGTCCTTCTCCTTCATCGTGGCTGGTGCTGACAGAACGGCGCTGTCCGTCTGGCGCTGTCCGTCTGGCGCTGTCCGTCTGGCGCTGTCCATCTGGCGCTGTCCATCTGGCGCTGTCAGTCTGGTGCTGTCAGTCTGGTGCTGTCAGTCTGGTGCTGTCAGTCTGGTAACGGAGTTGAGCGCGTTTTTTAGATAAGCTGTCAGCGCGATGGGGTCGTCACAGTCAGTGGTTACAGCCTTACAGACTGTGCTAAAACAAAGAGATCTTAAAATTGCACCACGAACACTTCAAAATTTTGTGAAGGAGGTAGATAGAGTGGCACCATGGTATGCTTGTTCCGGGTCCCTCACTGTGGCCTCATGGAACAAGCTAGGTAAAGAACTAGACAGGAAGCATGCAGAAGGAGATCTCTGCTTAGGTACCAAAGCCATTTGGAAGCTAGTTAAAAACTGCTTGGAGGATGAGGCCTGTCACCCTGCTATAATAGAAAGTCAGGGAACCTTAGAGGAAGTTCAGGATAGCATGTCAGAAACTGAACGGAGTGAGAGAATGGGAGCTCGCAAAAGAAAAGACATGTCTAAGAAAAAAGGCCCTCCCCAGGAAGTTAAGAAAGGGGGAGAGAAAGAAGGGAGTTATCATTCACCCCTTAACAAATCTAAGAAAAAGAAAAAGCCAGAATCTAGTCTATACCCTGCAGTAGAGCTAGAAGCCTTGGAGCTAGATAATTCTGATTCTGACACTCTGGATTCTAGCGAAGAAGGTGGTCTAGAGGAGGAGGTGGCACGGTATGAGGAAAAAGATATCACCCTGATAGACACCGGCCACTGAAAACAAAAATGAATGTGAGGCCACCGCCTATAAATCCGGCGGGCTCACGCCTCTCAGCGCCTCCGCCATATGAGCTTCGGCTGAATACTGGTACTGACTCCTTTTTACCTTTAGAGGAACGGAGAAAAATACAAATGGCTTTTCCAGTATTCGAGAATGTGGAAGGCGGAAGAGTACATACCCCCGTAGATTACAATCAAATTAAAGAATTGGCCGAATCCGTTCGTAATTATGGGGTCAATGCTAACTTTACCACATTACAGGTGGAAAGGCTTGCTAATTTTGCCATGACTCCCACTGACTGGCAAACGACAGTGAAAGCAGTGCTTCCCAACATGGGACAATACATGGAATGGAAGGCTCTCTGGTATGATGCAGCCCAGGCACAAGCTAGAGTTAATGCCACGGCTGAAGATGAGAATCAGAGGCAGTGGACATTTGAAATGCTGACAGGTCAGGGTCAACATGCCCTTAATCAAACCAACTACATCTGGGGCGTCTATGGTCAGGTGTCGGCCGCCGCTATTAAAGCATGGAAGGCCCTCACAAAAAGGGGAGAGTCCAGTGGACACCTTACAAAGATTGTCCAAGGACCCCAAGAGCCATTTTCAGACTTTGTGGCCAGAATGACAGAGGCCGCCAGTCGCATCTTTGGTGATTCAGAACAAGCTATGCCCCTGATTGAGCAACTTGTCTATGAACAAGCAACCCAGGAATGTCGAGCGGCTATCGCCCTCGCAAAAGCAAAGGTTTACAAGATTGGCTCAGAGTGTGCAGGGAGCTGGGGGACCCCTAACCAATGCAGGACTAGCTGCCGCCATTTTACAAACGCACAGGTATAGAGATTTATCTAATCGAAAAGCTTGTTTTAATTGTGGGAGAATGGGGCACCTTAAGAAAGATTGTCAAGCCCCTGAAAGAACAAGAGAATCGAAGCTTTGCTATCGTTGTGGTAAAGGTTATCATAGGGCTAGCGAATGCAGGTCAGTCCGGGATGTAAAAGGGAGGCTTCTGCCCCTATTGAAGAATCCAAGGTACCCCAATCAAAAAACGGGTCACGGGGCCCATGGTCCCAGGGCCCTCAGAAATATGGGAACCAATTTCAGAAAAGCAATCAAGAGGAAGTAGAGGTTTCCGAGGAACCTCCGGAATGGACTTGCGTGCCGCCTCCGACTTCTTACTCATGCCCCAAATGAATGTTCAACCGGTCCCAGTCCATTCCCCTGGACCTTTGCCCCCTGCCACCATTGGGCTTATTCTGGGCCGTGGCTCCTTAACTTTACAGGGACTCATTATATATCCTGGGATTGTTGACCCATATCATAAAGAGGAGATTCAAGTTCTCTGTTCTAGCCCTCGGGGTGTATTTTCTATAAAGCAGGGAGATAGAATTGCACAACTGGTGTTGCTGCCCTCCCTCGGGGATGGAGAAAC